AATTAATTATTCATGGTAATCCAAAAACATAGAGAACGTTCGAGAAAGTCACGTAAGGCATGAAAGCAATTTTACTTCTTAACACTCAACAAAGACAAAATGTCTTTTTGCAGCATTTTGTAACTTTAAATTCATCATAAAACAGTTCGAAAGGAGGGCTCACTCGTGAAATGTTTTTCAACACTCGAAGAGAAATTTCGTGTCTCTGCGCGGCCACGAAATATCCTCTATTTATTCCTCGAGTAATCGAAGACTAAACTCGAAGTGATCTCAAGGTATTACGAAGTAGTCCGTTCTCATTTCGTGAAATAAGTTGAAACAAGCCGAAAAGTCACGAACTTGCACGCCCAATCTTGTCGCGAAACTGGTGCATCATTTCATAACTACTTTTCATATCCCAAACTACCTTGGGTCGCAGTAGCGCAATCGGCTAATCCGTCAACTTAGAGTCTCCTCTGATCTGACGGGTCACACAGGTGAGTCGGTTCAAACCCCGGGAAAGCCAAAATAATAATTCTTTCTTCCTCGAAAAAGTTAAAGAATAAATCAAAGAAATCGAAGTGATCTCGAGATATCTCGAATTAATTCGGCTCTCACTTCGTCAAATAGCCGAATAAAACCGAAAACCTACAGACTTTGCATGCCCAATCTTGTCAAAAAATTGTAACTTTGATACATTCCTGAGCGTCGCGAAACCTTTACTTCGCGCTCCGCCGAAGTAATAAGGAACGTTAGGAGTGGGTATTTATCGTCCACCAACTTCTGCTAAAGTACCTAAATCAACGTGGACACTCGAGCTTGAATCTATAATGGAGGCCATCACTGCACTACCTGGTAATTGCCTTCTGGCGGGTGATTTCAATTCGGACCTGCAAGAACCTGATAAGGCCCCACAAGACGGTCGAATACTATTGGATCTGTTGGATGTTTAGGACTTACATAATCTGATTGATTCTCCGACAAGAATATTAAACAAAAACATCTACCTCTTTACTCGATCTTGTTATAACAAATAATAAGAACAAAATTGCGGAGTCTGGGGTCGTACACGTGCAAATAAGCGATCACTCATTGGTGTATGTGATACTGAGAAAGACTGTTGGAAAAATGAAATCTAGAAAGCTTTATTTTCGCAGTCTTAGACATATTGATCGTGACATGTTTTTAGCTGATTTGCATACTGTTCCTTTTGGTGTCATGGATACCTTTGACGATGTAATTGACAAGCTTTTTGTGTCCGAGACACTTTTTACGGAGGTGCTTGATGAACTCGCGCCATTGAAGGAATTTCACGTGCGGGCAATCAAGTCCCCTTACATGACAGAAGAATGGCGCAAGGTGAAAGATATTCACAAGGGACAGAACAGACAATAATTATGAACGTTACAAAGCCCAAAGAAACACATTATAAGGCGCAAAGCCATAAGGGAATTATTTTCTATAAAGGCGCAGGCGGACAACCCAAGGGAATTTTGGAAGAATTACCAGCCCTTCTTACGCTCTAGCAACCCTAAACAAACTAATGATATCACATTAATAGAAAAAGATACTGTTTTCACTGACAAATTCCAAATAGCAGAGGTATTTACTGAGCACTTTGTGCACATTACAGACAGTGTTGGTGAAATTAAAGAGCGCGACTATGGAAAACACTTTAGCAAACATCTAAGCATAAAAACCATTCGAATGAACAATGGCCTGAAGCAAGACAGCGATCTTGTCAGTTTTTATCCCATAAATAAGACAAAAGTGGAAGATTTGTTGTGAAATATTGACGCACGAAAAGCTTGTGGTCATGACATGCTACCCCCGTGTTTAATAAAAGAATCCTCACACGCCATAGCAGGGCCAGTTACAAAAATCCTGAACACTGCAATTGTACAAGGGCGTTATCCTTCAAGGTAGAAGATGGGTCAAGTTACCCCTGTATTCAATACGGACGATGAGACAGATAAACGTAACTACAGGCCTGCAACCGTTCTGCCCTGTTTGAATAATATCTTTGAAAGGCTGCTGTCCATCCAGTTGCAAGAATAGGGGTTATTATCGGACTTTAGTATATACTAAAACAGTGGATAGTGTTTTTCGCGCGCTCTGATTGGCCACTCAATCAGTGAATATCCTGCACTATTCACTGATTCACCTCCAATTCCTCCGAGCGAGTGACGCCAAACTCGCGTAAGTTACAAGCAAAATGCCTTCCCGGTTTGCTGCCGCAACAAACAAAGAAATTTCACAACTAATACACGAAGAAGGTGACGACGTTCGGTTTGGAAGTTTTAACAGGTAAACTAGCACCTCCACTTCGGTGAATAATTAACAATTAATGAATGAGGCTGAGTATCTTATGAGTTATGAAGAATTATGGAGATAGAGGAGGGTGTTACGGCCTCGACGGATAACATCCTCCGAGATCTCCATAATTTTTCATATTATACGAAAGCCGAATTCAATAATTGTTTTATTATTCATTCAAAATAATTCGTAGTTTAAAAACATGGCTAAAACATGCTTACCGCCATCGATCCATCGATGTTAAGTTTATCTTCGATAGTGCACGTTTAGGGTTGTTCAGCTCCGCAAATATTCTCCAGATACAGATGTCGCCCTTCGAGTTGTCTTCTTGCTGTTCTTGCCATGTTTTTAGCTATTTTTTCGCATAGTTCTTACTCTTGAAACGAGAGAAATGTCCGCCATTTTTCAAGTTCACAACTAAAACAACTCAACCTCGTCCCAGGTCTTCTCGCTTAACGGTGGATTAACCTGCACGAACGCTACATTTTTGACGTCATTTCCTCGCTAAACACAAATTCTTCCAAATTTGGTCATCACTAAGTGTTTATGGTGAATTAAACGTGTGCTTTTAGCCAATCAGAATCGGGGAAATATTTTGAATGAATAATAATTGTTATATACCTCAGCATATAGACGACACCACAGTTGTGAAACATCATTACTGCGGCTGACTGAAGATTGGAAAGCTAGCCGAGATAGGAAGGAGCTGGTGGCTGTAGTGTTAGCCTGTTCACAGACCCTCTATTTTCACTTCAAAGTCCGTCGAGTAACGAAAAGAAAAATAGAACTTTTGAAAAGAACGTAAAGTAAAATAAAACAACGTCTGTGTACAGGCTACTGCAGTGTCAATGGATCTTTAAAAAGCATTTGACACAATACCGCATGCGCTGTTGCATGCCAAACTATCAGCCTATGGTTTGAGCTGCAGCGCTTGTGCGCTGCTTGAGGATTACTTGAGCGGCAGGCCGGATGCAGAGGGTGAAAGTCGCCGATGCAAACTCTAGCTGGCAATCGGTAAGAAGAGGTGTACCAGAAGGATGTGTACTCGGACCGATGTTTTTCAATATCTTCTTAAATGAGCTTTTCTATGTCATCAAAGAAGTGAAACTTTATGCATATGTAGACAACGAGCAATCATATGACTCGTATTCTGATCCTATCGCCCTTGACCAGCGTATGCAGCGCGAAGTGCGGAAGGCAAATACCTGGTATACAGAAAACGGAATGATTGTCAACCCTAGCAAGCACCATGCCATGGTTCTGGGGTTTACTGATCACCAGTTCTCTTTTATCACTAAGGACTCGCTTGACCACCTGGGAATGACTATCGATAGTCAATTGAATTTCGATAAACAAGTCTCGCTTATTAGTAAAAAAGTCAACAACCAACTGAATGTTATGATAAGATTCCGTAAGGTTGTAAACACTTCCACCACGCTAAAATTGTATAAGGCCTTTGTTCTGCCACATTTTCAGTATTGTTCTGTGGTATGGCACTTCTGTAGCTCTAGGAACAGCGAAAAACTTGAGACATGACAGGGAATCAACATACAGTCAGCTATTAGATAGAGCAGCAGCTACATCACTTTACAATCTGAGAGTGCAAAAATATGTTTATCACGATTCATGAATGTATCCATGTCAATCATGATTTCTACCCTGCGTATCTTAAGGACTTTTTAACGTTGCGCTCTCTTAGATGAACTGATATTATATTGTCGTTGTGTAGACCTGCTTCCACTTCTTATGGTTTTCACTGTTTTAAGTATTTTGCCTGTAAAACTTGGAACTCTCCACCTGAGAACATTAGAAAGGAGTCCACTCGGGCTGGTTTTAAACGTCTAATACGAACCATCTCCTTTCATAGCACTTAGCAGTAATAGATATATAATTAGTACTTAGTAATGTTATTTTATTATTTGTTAATCCTTCTTTCTTTTTCTTTTCTCGAAAATTAAGATATTAGCTTTTTAGCTACCCAGTAAATTCGAGATAAAATAGATATATGTACGAGTGAAATGTCCTCCATTTTTTGTTTTCACAACCAAAACAACTCAACCTCGTCCCCAGGTCTTCTCGGTTAACAGTAGGCTGATTTAGCAACAGAACGGGAACGTCATTTGACTACGGGAAAGCGCGCGGTAAG